AACCATTTCCAGACAGTGCATGCCATCATTAAAGACTTGCTGGCAATGTCATTAGTAATGTGCTCCAACAGACCAAATCTGGAAGTAACATTTGAGAATTTTCATACCAAACTCCAGCCATACCAAAGGGTTGAGGCCACAGTGAAGCTGCATGTGGTAAATCTCAGTGGGTCAGTTTCCTGAAAGAAGCAGCTATTGCATAGCTAAGCAAAACACTTATCCAATATAACACCAGTGAACCAGACTGTATCAAACATTCTCATCGTCTGGAGAACATGACTGATTATTCCATTAGTGAGAAGGTCGGGTATCACACGTGCTTTTTCTTCCTCTATGTGACCTACTACTACTACTACTACTACTACTACTACTTTTGGCATGTATACATTTGGCACGTGTTTTATGCCGGATGCCCTTCCCGACACAACTCCAATTGGTGTGTGTGTATATATATGTATATATATATATATAAAATATTCATTTTAGAGAGATATTATCACTGATATTAAGGGGTTCTAGATTATTAAAGCAAATGCATCAGCACTCTAGACATCTGAGCAATGTATAGCAGAAGGCAGGGGGTGGGAGAGTGTGTGCCAACATCCTCTGTGCTGTGCCAATGCTTTTTGCCAGGACACTGACCCACTGAGATTTACCACACACACAGCTTCACTGTGGCCTCGTCCCTTTGGTATGGCTGGAGTAAAGCAGAAATGAAGAAAGCAAGAAATGTTCCCTGGATACAGCCCTGTTTACACTGCTCTCCCTGCAATGCCATCGTGAATACACAACAGCCTCAGCAGGTGAAAACAGACATCTATGTGGCTGTGTTTGGTGGAGAAGCAGCAGGGAGCTACATAGCCTAAGGCCAGATACCGACCACTAGACACTGATTCAGTGGAGGACATCTCACATTACTCAACCCTAACTTCCACCTTGACATTAACAAATATGAGAATTTGGATTTGTCTCACCCTAAAACACACCACACGGGTTGCTAATAATCTACAAGTTACAATCTAGGGGTTGAGTACTTTTCTATCACTGTCATTTTATACTGTCTTTAAAGCTCACTTTGTTCTCACAGTGTAAACAAAGCAGAGTTTAACATAGTGAGCCACGGGCCACGGGTCTGGTGTTGCTATGGCCTGAAGGGATTATTAATACTATTCATCAATGCACAGCAGGCTGGCCACCCCTCATGCCTAGCGTTTGCTTGCCGAGGCTGGCCTCATGTACCACTATTAACAAACCCAGCCCCAGCTCCAACACGGTTCCTGTGGTGGAGTTGCCTGTCCTGATGTGGGTCAGTGTTTCACAGGTTTTATCAAGATCGAATGTGTGTAGCACCTACACAGACACTTACATAAACAAATGGTTTTCATTTTAAGCTACTCTCTTTCTCTGAGGTACATAAAGCCCTATTGAAATTTGATATAAGCAAACCTGCTGGGTAAGTTAGAGCACTGCTGTTTAAAAGTCGCAGCAAATCTTCCTGTGATTCCACTTACACATATTTTTAATCTCAGGTTAGTTACAAATTAGATCCCTAAAGTGTGGAAATCAGCCTTTTTAACACCACTGCTTAAAGGTGGTAAAGTGTCTGCTGTATGTAATTACAGGCCTTTTTCCAACCCCTCACACCCTGGACTGTCTGAACTCCTCCCCTCTGGACGTCACTACAGGTCACTGTACGCCAAGACAAGCAGACAACTACATTTCCTTCCCATGGGCCGTCACTCTGATGGACACTTCATCTAAGTTCAAGGGGGTATGGCAGGACGCTGTACAAATCACTGTACAACAGCGTACAGATGTACATTACACAATAACTCTTTTAGTTGGTATACATGTACGTGTGTACATTTGTGTCTTTTTACTTGTGGTTTTGGTTTTATTCCATTTTTATATTGTTGTACACATCAGGGTCTGTTTGGGCTGGAGTGAGATTCCTTGTATTTTTGATAACACCTGGCAATAAAGTATATTCTTATGCTTTTTGTTTAGTATCGGTTCTGGTACCGTTTAGGCACCGGCACCATTTTAAATGTTTTGTTTTCACAGGCAAACGATACCCGACCGTAGGTGTCAGTTCACTCCATGAGATGAACACGACACATGCACAGGAGCTGCAGTGAGGCCTTGGGCTTCTATTCACTGTCACAACATGGTAGACACACACATACACACACCTCTCCTTGGGCTGCGGGTTATAATGACATCCAGACTCTACACAGCAACCCTGAGTGTCCTACTAGATCTACTTCTTCTTTTTTTTATCCACAGTGGAGCAGCTCTACAATGACATACATTATAGGACAGTACTCACTGTTAAATCCACAGTGAGCTCAGCAGAGGGCGACCATTGATCCAGTCAACTGGCTAATATTAACTCCCGTTTCTGGCTCCATTAACAGAGGAGATGGCAGTACTTGATCACAGATGTTATGGTTCACTGCATAATCTTTCAGCGGCCTGTGACTGTAACATCGATACGGTTAACATTGTGTAGACTGGATTGTGACATCGTAACATCAATGTAAACCTGAGGTTCTGTGCAGTTTGTCTGACACATGGAATTTTAGATTTTCAGTTTTCACCAAGTATTTATTGCAGAGAAGTTTAAAGCTGCAAGGATGATGAAAAAACAAAGGCAAACATCCTCTTTCTTCCAGTCCTCGTCTTTGTGCATAGCGCTGTGAGAAACACAGATCCACACGAACAACTTTTTCTGAGGATGAACTAGAAGAAAAGCCTGGCCTGAAGGCCCAGGGTGTCACTTAATGTGTGAGTCAAACTAATGGACTGCTGTTTCCATCTACCGTGCCCCCGACCTCTATTCCTCCTTCACTCCCTCACCCGATCTCTGATGCAACCTCTCTCTCTTATCCCTGAGTCTCTTGGTCCTAACATCTCTATTTCTACCAACTTCACCTCTTGTTCTGAGCCTCAGGAGGCAGTGGCACAATGTGACAGCAACACAGCTAATGTACACAGAGCACACACAGCTTTGTGGGTGACAGACATGCTCTACAAATACAGCTGATGCCTCTGCATAAGTATGCACACGGCTATAGGGTGGATTCTGCTTTCCTCTGGACCCAACACCTCCATAAATACCACTAAATCCAGGGTAGACACACAGAGCAATGCTCACAACACTGCTTTCCAAGCACACTTCGGGGTGACATATACACAGTACAGGCCTGTACATCTAACCCTGCAGAACACACACAAACACTCACCCCCATCCAAAACAAAGTGAGCTGGGCTTTTACAGCAGTGCCTTTTCTGAATGTGGTGCTGTCACACGTTTGGGTCTCCCTATGGTTAATTCTGTCTCAGGATCAAAAACCACAGCTGGTACTTCAGTTGAGAAAGAAGCTGTGGCTGCAGCAGCTTTCCACACGGCAAACAGGAGGTCGGCTGATAAAAAGACTGCTCTCCTTCTGAAACTGTAAATCACAGACAATCTGACAAATACAATGAGTAAGGCTGTGAATCAGAAAACTCAGAACAAGTGTGGCTGTGTGTCTGACTCAATGCATCTGGCCTTAACGTTTGCCTCCTGTCTCACCAGAGCCCTGGCTACAGAGCACTGACAAAGCTGGGGAGTTTCTTTGAGAAAGGAATTGCTTGTGCTATGAGGAATATAACACACACACACAGTTTTCAGGCTTCCCTAAACATGTAGGTCTCTTATCACACCATCAAACAGTCAACCATCTCTGTGACATGGCAGAAGTCCCAGAACCAGCCAGCCTGCTCTGACTGACTGTGCCTGTCAGTCTGCCAAGCTCCCGATTCACATGGAGCATCTGTTTGTATGCTCAGTGGAGTGTTTCATTCAGGACCTGCAGTTTGGATGACACAGTCAGTTATTCATGTGTCTGTCAAAGCAGAAACAGTTGTCCCTCACACACATTCTCAGCACTCATTCAAATGTGTGTGCTGAATATCAAAACAGAGCAACCATCTCCCTCCTGTTCACTGCTTCTCCTCAGCTCAGCGCCGTGTAATACCAAGTTGGAAAGTCGCAGGTGGGGCACAGGAGCTGCCGCAACTGAAAATACCAGAGCTGGATGATCCTGAAACTGGTCCTGGTTATTTGTCATGACAGCAGCAGCATGGGAAAAGTCAACGCCATGTCTACTTTCTCACGCACACACACACATACACACACCGGAGTGTCACAACACTTCGGTGCAACAGATTATAATTACATGGATAAATGTTAATGATATACTAAGCTTTGTTACTCACTTCTAAAGCAGCAACACAAAAAACAAAGATAACTGTACCAACCACTGTATAATTGACCAAAAACTCTTATCCTGCAGGGAGTTCAGGTGATCTTACTGCTTTGACTTGTTTCTAATGTAGCTGTGCTGTTCCTGTAGAGGGCAATGCATACTTACACCTTTTAAATCGAATTATGCCTCTTAAAATGCACTACAGGGTTAATGTGGGGTCTTACTCCTAAAGAGGGGGCAGTTATTGAACAGAGCCTGGTTGAAATGTGGGGACTCTGTGGAAAAACACTTCCCACAATGTGCAGTGCGATCGTCTTCCACTTCCAGTGACTGTTATTCCAAGTGGCCTGAATGAAAGCTCCAGTCATTAACGCTGGCCAGATGTGGATGACTCATGGCGGTCAATGCCCTGCCCTTTAATCTCTGCAGCAAGCTGCCAGCTGCCACTAGGTTAAGCACACGGTATGTTGCCAAAGTGCGCTGTGACTGGACAACCGTGAAACAAAACGCACCAACCATGAGAAACCCCACACGGTTAAAAAGCTCATCTACGCGTTTGAACAACACGGTCAAACTATTGTAGGATGGCTCTTTCTCAAAACAATTCAGTGTTACCACCATTAGTTCCCGCACAGATATCTCCACGCTTCTTGTGTGTGCGTGCGTGCCAAGGCTTCAGGACACTATGAGGAATTAACTGGAAAGCCCAGCGTTAAAAACTGAAAAAAGCAGCGATGCAACACCTACTTGCCAATGACCTCGCAGAGCTCGTACACATCTTCAAAGAGGATGTCGTCGTCCGCCATCGTGCGACCTGGCTGGGAGGGGGATGATCCCCAAAGATATGCGTCCCAGAACCTGATTGTGCTCCTAGAAAACGGTGAACATGAAGGCCATAAGCTCCTGACCGCTCGGTAAAAATGACCGACAAAAAGCCGCTCGCACCGTCAGCAGCACGGCGGTCGGTAGAGTTCCAAAGAAACAGTTTAAATCCTGCTCGTCGCCTCCGTTCGTTGACCCCGACCCCCCTCCAAAGAATCGCCGTGCCTCTGTGGATAAATCGGCACAGGGGGAGCTCAGTAATCCAATGTGGGAGTCCACCAGTTCGGCCCCGCCTTTCCCACAGCTTCCCGGTGTCCTGTCTCAAAAAGCAAATCGTCCGTGGGTGTCAAACAAACACCGTAGTAACTACTCCGCCGGTGTGTCTGCTCCCGTTAACGGCTTCGACTGTTACACCGGTCTGAATGTTAACGTGGGCACCAGGCTCGAGTTACAGCACGGATCCAGGTGGGTTACGCTGTTCTTCACATCCCGAACAGCCGCGGCTTACACTTTCTTCTTTGGGGACGTAACACACAGTCCTCCCACACTGTATTGGTTGACGTATGGGTCCGAGTCTCCAACGTCAAGCCAAGAAGCGCCTCTCTCCTCCGCGGCTCGGTAACACTTCCCAGCCGTTGGCTTCGGGTTTTTTTTCTTCCCACCGTTGCCTGCGTGCTCCGAGGTTTAGGTCCGAGGAGCTTCCAGAAAAACAAGCTCCTCCTACACGGGAGTTACGAAGCTATTACACTGTCCTCCATTTTGGCGCATGGCCGTCATCCAGGGTTCTCCATGAGACCCGATAGTATTTGAGCCAACATGGCGGAGTGGCGGCTTTATAAAGGCTTTTGTAAAACCGTGGTTTCCACAGGACCTTTCCAGTGGGGAGACTTGAAGTGGGGGAGGAGGGGTGTGAAGGAAGAAGGTGTATAAAAATAGAAACTACCCCGTTTAAACTGAGACTTTATCTTTTAACGAAATAAAAGTTCTGTTCCCTTTCATCGAGTTTATTTGTCCTTGTTTCTTCTTACCAATATTATTGATTATGATGACACATTATTGGTTTTATTATTACATTGTCGCATTTTATTGCTCATTTCTATTATACTGAAACTGTTTTGCTATTTGTTTTGTCTCTCATCAATAAATTGCACTAACCTGCCTGAAAGGCACCATACAAGTAGAGCAGTGGTCCCCAACCCCCGGGCCGCGGACCGGTACCGGTCCGTGGATCAATTGGTACCGGGCCGTACAAGAAATTATTAATTATTTCTGTTTTATTTATTATCTGCGGATGAACGATCTTTTAGTTTGAAAAAGGGCCGCATTCTCTCGGTTACATCTCGGATTGTGACTGCAAACATGATATTGTTGTACAAATAGTGTCAACAGCAACCTCGGCAACAGCTGATGGTGGCACATAGCAGGTGATTACAATAACGGATGAGAACTCTCTTGGCAGGTAATAGGGACGAAGCCCGACTGCTAGTAGTTCCACATTCGGACTACATAAACGATCCTTGACATGGATATGAAGTAGAGAGGCGCTTCTTGGCTTGACAGTAAGGATATAAAGTAGCTGCATTTAAAGCCAAACTGGATTTGTGGGGATGGCGCGTCAACAGAGGCATTTTGGACATGTTTCAAACATTAGCGGGGATTTTGTGTGAGACTGAGCCTGAGCCTTCATTCTCCCAGCTGGTGCACGATCACCTGTCTTTGCTTTTAAAAGAGTTCGAGCGCTACTTCCCAACCACAAAGGACCCACGAACTGCCAAGGAATGGATCCGCAACCCATTTGTCAACAAACCAGGTGAATCCAGCAGGTCTGTGCAAGAAGAAGATCAACTGCTGGAGATCGCAAATGACGGCGGCCTTAAAAGTATGTTCGAGACAACAACTCTGCCGGTGTTCTGGATTAAAGTCATGACAGAATACCCTGAGATCGCCACCACAGCACTGAAAACCCTGTTGCCATTTCCGACATCCTA